TTCTGGGTTTGATACAACTTAGTATATCAGTCAGGATAAGATGGGTAATGCTGCTGTAACAAAGTACCCCCAAATCTTGATGGCTTATAATCTGAGAGGTTTATTTTTCCTTATACTACATGCTTCCCCTGCCTCTATCCTTTCTTCACAAATCACTAGGGGCTGGAGGAGTAGGTGTTCTATGTCTTCCTGTCTTGTTGGTACTTCCTCTACGTCACAATCTTCTCCTTGCTGTAGGGAGTAATTCTCTTGGGTTATAATAGTTAATGACTGTCAGGAAACAAGAGTAATGGGAAAGAGCAAAAAAGGGAACATTGGTTTAATATTTACAAAATATTAACCCCATTAAATTAGTAATTAAGCTGAAAATTTCTAAATCCAAATATGAGAGCTATTAGAAAAACGATTAATTGAATATAGAGAGAAATAAAGGTTGACTGCTAGATTTGTGGCCTATGTGACCTAATTGGTGGATGGCAATGCCTTTCAATGAGATGAGAGTATTGGGAGATGGAGGAAGGTTCTGAGGGAGAAAGTCAAGAATTCTGTTAATATTTGCTAGCTTAAGAAGGTATAATTATGGGTGATTGTTTCTTTTTCTGCATTTTTTTTTTTTTGGTCCTAAGTTTTTCTTAAAGAGGCTTTAATAGTAAAAATAATTTAATGACCAAAATAAATATGTAGGTTACATTCTGATTTCTGTGTCTGGGACATCCACTGGTTCTAAGGCTCCATCCCAGCCTGTGTTGGATCCAATCCGAGAATGAGGAATGTTGCTGGAGGAGCTTGGGATGAGCTTCCTGTGGTTTCTTAGATGCTTCTTGCTGGGTAGACAGGGCAGGGCGTATGGCTCAGGTTGCCAGGATGGTGTTAAATGCCTCCATTTGGTGCAGAGTGGCTTGATGGATGCTTTTGAACCTTTTTTTTAATGCTTCTCAGCTTGAAAATGTTTCCAATTTCCAACTTTTTCATGGGAATTTATTGAACATAAGTAAGTCAAATGTTTTTCTCATTAACTGGAGAACTTAATCATGTAGCATGACAAAGGAAAGAAAGACAGAAAGGATTCACAGTTCCCAAGAATGGGCAATTCCCTTGAAGGGATGGATCATTCAGTGAAGCTGTTTGGCCTGGGTTTTCTCTGAGTTTATTGTTTTCTTCATTTTGGCCCAATTAAGACTTTGAGTGTTTCTGACTACCTTCCCTGACCCTATCACTCTTTCTAGGCCTTGTGGTCTGAATACAGGTCTATCCAAGGAACTCATGGGGCCCTTGACAAATGCCCTTTGACCTCCAACTCATTTTTAGAAAGGTAAATTTTTTTGTAAGGAAAAATGAAGCTTGTGTACAATGCAGACCAACCTGATTACCTAGGGTCATGGTGGTTTGTGCTTTCTGTTTGTTTCAACTGTTGCTATTGAAAAATCTTATAGAAGAATTTAGTTATTTCCCTACTTTAGTAAATAGATTTACTTTTTGTATGGCAAATGAGAATTATGATTGTGTTACGATGTAAATATGGAAAGGGTAGGCAATAATTAAGTAGTGATAGGACATACACAAGACATGTTTTCAAGTATTTCTTCTATAAGCTATTCATTCATTCCTTTATTCCTCTATGCTTTTTATATACTGGTATTCAACTGAGTGCTCAGAATTATTTTTAAGAATGGTGGAGAATATTAAGATCAAGTCCCTGATCTTGGGCTGCTTACAAGCTAGTGGGAAAGAAAAGACGTATACTTGGGAAAATAGATACCAGTACCTGGCAAAATATGACCAGTGCGACAGGAGCAAAGCAGAGAGAAATAAAGCTATAGAAGTTCAGCAAGGGTGCAGGCCCTGTGGACAGCATGATTTGAGAAATCTTCTTGGATGAAATGGAATGGGAGTTGAGATGTGAAGTCTGGATTAGCCGAGAGGGCAGTGGGGAGGGAGTTTTCAGGGAGTGAAGAAGCAAAGGCAGTGAGAGGAAAAAGTACAGCACATGTTTGGGCGGGGCACAGGGCAACAGCATGAGTACATCAATGTGTTTGGAGCAGAAACCTTCCCACCCCCACCACTAATTCTATTAGCTAAAGAGTTCATTGAGTTGAAGTAGAATAAAGCCTCAGTTCCTTACTTACCCTCTGAGCCTCAGTTTCCTTGTTTGTTAAATGGAGTTAATCATATCTACCATCCATGGATGCCATAAGGATTAAATGAAATACGATACTAAAAGCAAAGTGCTAAGTAGGGTTTCTTGCACTTTTTCATCCTCGTTCACTCAGTTCCTAGAGTTCAGCTAAATCCCAGTGCCATTATATTATAAAGAAATCTCTCGCTCCTCCTTACAGATAATTTAAATTTTACTTTGCACTTCTCTAGACCAGTTTCTAGTCAACTTCTGGTTTAGGAGAATTTTCTTGGCATAAGCCATTTCAATGTGAAAGGAGACCAGTGCCACATTCAAGAGCTTTAAATAACTCATCACTAAATATTGCAGGGTGGCTGTACCGTAACAAGCTAAAAGGGAGTAGTTGGAGATATGATAATTCTTTTTGCGATTATATCAACATCCTCCTTGACATAAACTTCACAGTAAACAATAGGCAAAATAAATGTCATTACTCTGAAGAATTCAATTAAAAACTGACTGTTACTGCATTTGATCCCTAGAGGAAGGTGACTCAGGTCTGGGAAGAAGGAGCACTGTACTGAATCTAATCCCCATGCCATGTTAGAGTTGTTTACACCAGCTTGAGTGGTTGTGATGGGGTCGTCTGCATCATCTGGTTCTTGTCCTCTGACTCACTGTTTCTGCTGTGGGGTTAACTCCCTGCAGTGGAAAAGGGGGGAGTTACTTTCCAGACCATATGCAATAGAAAACAGCAGATTGACTTAGGTTACGGTGGAAGCTGAAAGCACATAAACTTTAGACTCCCAGAGGATAACCTTGGAAAATTCTTTTAAATAGCATCCTCATAGAGGTGTCTAATTTTCAAGATCTATCTTGAAACCTTAAGTTTCCAAAGTTAGTTTATGGAAAAAGGTTGAGCGAGGACAAATGGTACAAGGTATGCAATTTTACTGCCTTTGCTTACATTTTTCAGTTTAGAGAAGCTGGAAAAAAGAATGCCTCCCTTTGATTTGCTGTAATTCTGCCTGGGCTAGGGCATATGACCATGTTCATGTGTGTATAGGAGATTCTTGGACTTCAACTCTGTAAACTTGGGTTTCTGTGGTCCTATATTAGACAAGCTAATGTTAAAGAGTTTGAATGAGCCAATGAAACTGTAAAGCTGGAAATGCATGTGTTTCCAAGTTGGATTAGACAAGGCTCCCCTTGACACATAACCCTGACAACCCATGGATTTGTTGATTAATGGTGGCCTTAAATTCACAGTGTACCTGGATTATACTTAGAACTGTTAGAGAAGAATCTAGTTTTCCTCCCTAACTCATTCATCATAAACTTACTGAGCAACTACTATGTACCAGGCATGTGTTAGAGGCTAGGGATCGAAAAATGAAAAGGACACAGTCTTGTGGGAATTTATAGTCCAGTGGAGAGAACTGTGTGTAAATAGTTATGGAACAATGTGATAAGTGTTATGATAAAGGAATCTGTAGTGAGCTATGGTAGCAAAGAGGAGAAAACATTTAAATCCATTGATGGTTGGCAGGAGAGGTCGGACTCTGTAGAAGAGCTGACCCTATAGTAGGTCTTGTAGGATGAGAAGGAGAAGGCAGGTACTACAGGCAGGGGGAGGAAGAACAGAGTTGCACAGAAGAAGCATGCTGGGCCCGTACAGGCAGAGGGAAAAGCATGGCCCCGCAGGGATGGGCGGGCTGGTGGGGGATATACAAGTTAGACGATTAAATACATTAGCCCTCACTTCTTTTAATTCCTATAGGGTAAATAACCCAACCCAAAATGAAGCAGAAATATCATCACAGAGATCTGCAAATTAATTGGCTGATAGGTCCCAAAAGATAAGAAAAGAGAAATGGGAAAGAAGAAATAGACTTTAGGTGAGAGCACGAGCAAGCAAAAGTGGCTGAGTCAGGGAGTTCTGGCAGAAAACATGCCATATTTGGAAGAGTTGAACTGATTTATGAATGGACTATTTCAGGGGTAAGTTAAGGGAACCAACAAAGGATGGTGAAGCATCCTGGGACTAGCAATAGCAGGAAGCCATTACCACTTTTGGGTCTGAAAGGGCAAGGGGAGAAAATGGTGTTATTGCAGCCCAGGGAGAGCTGGAGCCATGAGGGATAAGCAGCTGTTCAGGAGCAGTGGCTGTAAAGAAACACAGAACTATGGAGAAGCAGGGAGCAGGCAGGGAATGAATACCCCAAACTCAGATTCCTTTCATCCTCTGATACAGGCCAAATCAATGGCAGCCGGAGTATAAGGGAGCCCAGATGATGAATTCTATAGAGATCAGCCCTTAGGTTGCTTCTCAGCCCCCAATACTACTCTCTGTGGTAATTTATATTAATGATATAATAAAGTTGTTCCAATGACACTCCATTGGATTCCCTTACCCCTGCCTCAAACCAAGCTGTTAGTTCTCACACTTGCAGAACGCAATCTCTGTTTCTATTATAATAGCCCTGATTTCATTCTTCTTCAGAGTCTAACTAGTCATGCACATGTCAGTACCCACATTAGGGTGTCACATCTTATACAAAATGCTTGTGTTGTACCACCCAGAGACTCAGCCCCACTTCAGGATCAAGGCATTCGTTTCCCTAGATACTGGGAAAGTTTGCTATTGACAGTTCATAGTTGATAGTTCCCTCCTTGGAAACTGTCCTCACCCAGGATTATGCCTTCTCCTTGGGGTAGCTTCCATTTAAAGACTGGCTGATGCAAGGGTACAAAGGCCCAACGCTTTTGCTTCAACTGGAACCGCTCTGTAGGTCCATCCCAGAACTCCCCAAGGGCTTGGCAGAGGCCTTTTTTGAGACTATATGGCCCTCTGACCAATCTTGCTTCTTTTGCTCCTTCACAGGTCATACTCTCAGGAGCACTTCCCAGTAAAACTTCTGCAGGTAAATCTTCCTTATTTACTAATGTTTCTCCATATCCCTAGTACAGTGTTTCACACATCCTAAGATATTAATCAAAAATGATTGTTGAATCAATGAAATAAATGGGTTATGTGACATTCATTCCTTCATTCATTTATGGAGGTACAATTTACATACAAAAAAATTCAGCCTTGGTAAGTGTATAGCTGATGTGTTTTGCCAAATATATAAAATCATGTAACCTCTACCACATCCAAAATATAGAGTATTTCCATCACTACAAAAAGATCTTTCATAGTCCTTTGCAGCTAATCGCTTCACACCAAGCCTCTGGCAACCACTGATCTGTTTTCTGTCCCCACGGTTTGACTTTTCTAGAATATCATATAATGAACTCATATGGTATGTAGTCTTTTCTGTCTAGCCTTTTCACTTAGCACAGTGCTTTTTATTTTTTAAGTCTGGTTTTCTGAGGTACATACACTAAATTTCAGCTCTTATAGGTGTATAGTTCTATGAATTTTGAGAAACAATAGCTATGTTTCCATCACCACAATCAAGATATAAAATATTTCCATCACCCCAGTTATTTAATTTGTTTATTCATTAGAAAAATTTTACCCATATTTATAGATGTAAATGGTATCTTATTGTAGATTTAATTTGTATTATAGATTTAATTTGTATTTGTAATTTGTACAAATACAAAAATTTGTATTTTTGACTAATAATATTAAAAACTTAACAAGTGCTTCTTTGCCATTGAAATTTCTTTGGTGAAATGTTGGTCCAAATTGTTTGCCTTGCCTATTTTTAAGTTGTGTGTGGGCGTGTCTTTTTCTTATTTTTGAGAGTTGTGACTTCAACCAAACACCACTGTTTTCCAAAATTTTTTATATATTGTATTTTCATTTTTATTGAAGATATTTTCTAATCCATTATTTTACTTCCTTTGTGACTTATAGATTATTTAGAAGTGTGTTGTTTAATTTCCAAATTTGAGGATCTTCAGATTCCTTCTTTTATTAATTTATAGTTTCATTTTCTGTGATCGGAAAACATTCTTTCTGTGATTTAATCCTTTTAAATGTGTTGTTCCATGGCCCAGAATATGGTCTATCTTGGTGAATGTTCCATATGTTTTTGAAGAATATGTTCTGCTGTTGTTAGATGGAGTGCTCTATAATTGTCAGTTAGGTCAATTTAGTTTATAGTGTTATTTAGATCGTCTATATCATTAACTGATTTTTTTTCTAACTTAATCTTTCAAAAATTTAATTAATTAGTTTATTTTTGGCTGTGTTGGGTTTTCGTTGCTGTGCGCAGGCTTTCTCTAGTTGCGGCGAGTGGGGGCTACTCTTCGTTGCGGTGCGCGGGCTTCTCATGTTGCAAAGCACAGGTTCTAGGCATGCAGGCTTCAGTAGCTGTGGCACGTGGGCTCTAGCACACAGGCTTAGTAGTTGTGGCGCACGGGCTTAGTTGCTCCGTGGCATGTGGGATATTCCCAGACCAGGGGTCAAACCTGTGTCTCCTGCATTGGCTGGTGGGTTCTTAACCATTGAGCCACCAGGGAAGCCCCTCATTAACTGATTTTTCTGTCTACTTGTTCTATGGGTTACTGAGAGAGAAGTGTTGAAGTCTCCAGCTATAATTGTGTATTTCTCAATTTCTCATTTCAGTTCTAAAGTATTTTGAAGGTGTGTTATTAGGTGCATATACATGTAGAGTTGTTCTTTCCTTTTCATGAATTTACCCTTTTATCATTATGTAATATCCTTAGTGTGTTAATATACCTTATTCTGATGTCTGCCTTTTCTGGTATTAATCAGTTCCCTTTGATTGGCAGTATAATTTTTTTATTGTTTTACTTTTTACTTATCTGTATCTTTATATTTAAAGCAGATTTATTGTAGACAACATATAGCTGGGTCTTGCTTTCTTATCCAACCTGATAATATCAGTCTTTTAACTGAACTATTAATTTCAGTTTTATTTAATGTAATTCTTGATATGGTTGGGTTTAAATATACTAACTGCTACATGTTTTCTACTTGTTTCATTGGGTCTTTGTTCCTGCTTTCCTTTTTAGTGCCTACTTTTAATTGAATATTTTTTATTCATTTATTTTCATAATCAGCTTATTTATTGGTTGCTCTAGGATTTAAAATGAACATCTTTAACTTATCACAGTTTACTTCCAAATATATCACTTCACAAATGGAGTAGAAACCTTACCAAATACACTACCATTTTCTTTCTTTTGATCTTTGTGCTGTTTTTAGATTTTTTTTTTCTTTTGCATGTATTATCAACCCCACGAACATATTATTACTATCATAGTAACAGGGAGTCAATTATATTTTAAAGAATTTCAACATAAGAAAAATGTCTTTTATATTTAACTTCATTTTTACAATTTTCAGTGCTCTTTATTCTTTTATAAGGATTCAGTTTTCTATCTGGTATAATATTTCTTCTGCCTGAAGAACTTCTTTTAATATTTTTTGTAATGCAAGTCCCCAAGCAATGAATTCTCTCAGCTTTTGTTTGTCTGAGAAAGTCTTTATTTCAACTTTATTTTTAGAGACATTTTTTCAGAATATATAATTCTAAGTTGACAATTTTGTTTCTTTCATTACCTTACAGGTGTCCTATTATCCCCTGGATTATATAGTTTGACAAAAAGTCTGCTGTAATTCTTATCTTCCACTGTAAGTAGTGTTTCTTTTCTTTTTCCCTGCCTCAAGATTTTTCTCTTTATCTTTGAATTTCAGCAGTTTTACTACAATTTTTTTATAGCTGTGGCTTTTTTTAAAAATTGTATTTATCTTGCTTAGGGTTTTCTGGGATTCTTTGATTTGTTTTTGCCTTTTATTTATTTCAGAAAATTCTTGACCATTACCTCTTCAAATGTTTCTTATGTTCTCTCTTCTTATTCTAAGAATACAATTATCGAATAGATTATCTAAAAATTCTGGAAGAAAACCAAACAATCTATTCTTTTTCTCTCATTTTCCTCTTGCCTTTCATTTTGGATAGTTTCTATCTATCTCCAAGGTCATTAATTATTTCCTCTGCTGTGTCCAGTCTGCAGATAAACCTGTCAAAGGAAAAAAAATATGTTTAGTATTGCCATCTGGATTAGTTTCCTATTTTTGCTGCACCAAATTACCACAAACTGTGGCTTAAAACTACGAACTTTATTATATTAAAGCTTTGGAGGTCAGAAGTCCAAAATGGGTCTCAGTTGGCTAAAATCAAGGTGCTAGTAGGCTGTTTTCTTTCTGGAGGCTGTAGAGGAGAATCCATTTCCTTTTTCCAGCTTCTAGAAACTGCCTACATTCCTTGATTCATGGCCTTTTCCTGTATCTTCAAAACTAGCAACATAGCATCTTTAAATCTCTCTCTAACCTCTTGCCTCCCTCTTTCACTTAAAAGAACCCTTGTGATTATATTGGGCTCAACTGGATAACCCAGGATAATATAGCCCCATCTCACTATCGTTAACTTACTTACATCTGTGAAGTCCCTTTTGCCATGTAAGGTAACAGGTCCAGGTTATTAGGAAGTGGACATCTTTGGGGGATCCATTATTCTGCTGACCACACAACATTATTCTCTTTTATGATTTTTATCTTTAGTGGGTTGAATAGTGCTCACCACCCCTGGCCCCCCAGCGATATGTCCATGTCTAAATCCCTGGAACCCGTGAATGGTATTTGGGAAAATCTTATTTGCAGATGTCATTAAGTTAAGGTTCTTAAGATGAGATGAGATCATCCTGGAATACCTGAGGGGGTCCTGGAATACCTGAGGGGGTCCTAAATCCAATTATAAGTGTCTTTATAAGAAACAGAAGAAGACACAGACACACAGACGAAAAGAGAGTGTGAAGATGGAAGCAGAGATTAGAGTGATGTGGCCCCAAGTCAAGGAAGCCAAGGAATGCTGATGGCCACCAGAAGATAGAAGAAGCAGAGAAAATTTCTTCCCTAGAGCCTCCAGAAAGAGCTGATACTTTGATTTCAGCCTTCAGGCCTCCAGAACTGTGAAAGAATCATTTTCTCGTTTTAAGCCACCCAACTTGTGGTAATTTATCCCAGAACCCCTAGGAAAGACATGCATCTCTCTGTTTAAGTCCTCCATCTCTTCATTCATGTATTGCATTTTTCCCTCTAAACCCTTTAGTATATTAATTACAGTTATTTTGAAGCCCTTGTCTGTTAGTTTTAACATCTAGGCCAAATCCTGAGTCTGTTTTTTCTCTTGACAATGGGTTGTTTTGTTCTTGCTTTTTATGTTTATCATAATTTTGTTTACATGCCGGATAATGTGTATAAAAGAACATTAGACACTGAGCTAAGTAATGTTTATGCCCAGAACTAGGCATACTTCTTCTATTCGATCATGATTCTTCTGGAAGTTGAGGCCATCTAATCAGTAGATGAGCTGGGTTTGGATTTGCTGTTGTTGTTGCTATGTTGTGGTTAATTTCAGCGAATTCAGGGCTTCAAATTCCTCCAGTCGTGAATTATTAAGAACCTTGCTTGTTCTTAGTGTGAGGCCTGGAATACTAGAGGGATTTTCTAGATGTTTCTTCTCCACTCTCAGCTTTTAGCAGTCCCTAAGTGCATTTGTCACTGAAGGGATTTATCTCCATGTTCTTGTCCTTCCCCTAGCCTTAGACTTCTATTGCTTATTACTTTGTGCAAGCCTTATGCTGGGGCTGGGGTTTCTTCACTTCTCCTGCTCCAGCTTCAGCCTTAGGCAGACGCTGTGCTCCAGAGTCTCACATGCCAGGCTTTTTTTTTTTTTTTTTTTTTGACGGTACGCGGGCCTCTCACTGTTGTGGCCTCTCCGGTTGCGGAGCACAGGCTCTGGACGCGCAGGCTCAGCGGCCATGGCTCACGGGCCCAGCCGCTCCGCGGCATGTGGGATCTTCCCGGACCGGGACACGAGCCCATGTCCCCTGCATTGGCAGGCGGACTCTCAACCACTGCACCACCAGGGAAGCCCATGCCAGGCTTTTTAATCACTCCTACTTCTCTCCTGTGATAAGCTAGTCATCTTGGCCTCCTCTTCAGTTCAGTTCACCCATGTGTGGGTGAACTCTTTATTTTAATAAATTTCCTACTCCTCATTGATCAGTAGCAGGACTCTGTTTTGTATCAGTGTAGGATCTTGAGCACAAGCATGTCTACATTTTGCCCAGAAGCAGCCAATTTTTTGCCTGGGAATAAGTACATGATAGTGTTTCCTAATTCACCCTTAGGACCTGATACTTTTTACTTCATGTAAAAGCATGGTCATATCTAGGATATGAGTAGGTTCTTTTGACTACCCCAAGAGTAGACAGATTTTTGCTTCCTATCAAGAAGATTCTGGGCTGTGGGCAGTGGCCCCTGCTTGTTATCCTGAACTCATGCAGAGCCCAGTGGGAGATGAGATTATGTAGGTGTTCCTGTTCTACTTTCAGACTTTAGCAGACCCTGCACACCTTTGCCACCAAGAGGAGCTTTCCAGTTTCCTACCTGCCCCTAGTCTTTCTTGTAAATATCCAGTGGAGGCCTGTGGAGAGTAACTGGTGAGTAGGTGCAGGCTCCCTTGCCTGTGGCTCCTGGGGATTCTATACTTTCACACTAGTCCACATGTGTGCTTTAAAACTGTGTTAAAATAGTTGTATTCTTCTTACCCACTCCTATGGCTGCCTCCTTTTCCTCCCATCCTCCCTCCAAGGTGGAACATTGGGTGTCCTATGTTTCCTTTGAGCCACCTTTTGCCCTTTAGAATTTAGTTCACCTGATTACCTCATAACCTCAGCTCACTGATGAACTCAAGACTGATTATTTTTTAGAGTCTATCCTTTTCTAAAGCAGTGTAGATTATCTAAGAGAATAGGTTCTTGGAAGCAAACAGACAAATCCAGAAAACCACATTGTTTCTAGGACATTCTGTAGCACAGCTGACCCAGCTTTTGCAACAAGTCAATGGTATGGAAAAATAAATAAAAGGAGAGTACTCAACAGAGACCTAAGAGATACAATAACGCAAGGTAATTTGCAGACCTTGTTTGTCTCTTGTTTCAAACAAGCCAACAATAATAAGTTTCTTAAACAAGTGGGAAAATTTGAATATGGACTAGGTACTAGACGATACCATGGAATTATTGTTAATTGTGAAGAAAGGATAATAGCATTGTAATTATGTTTAAAAATCAATATTTTTTTAGAAATACAAAATAAAATAGACAGATGTGAAATGACGATGTCTAGGATTTGCATTAAAATACTCCAAAGGTTGGGGGTTAGGTGGGGGAGGCAGATACACGATGCAAGTGTGTCCAAATCTTGATAATTTTGGAATTTAAACAGATCACCTGGTGTTTGTGAGGTGAGGAGAATGAATTAGAAGGGTACAAGAGTATAAGTAGAGAAATCACTGCTGTGGTCTACATGAGACATCATGGTAGCTTGGACTGAAGGGAGCAGTACATAGTAGGTTCTCAGCAAAGATTTTGTTAAATGAAGTCATGATAATGATATGTTTCATACACACACGCAGGTGTTTTTTTTTTAACAAATGTAAAAAAGTAGAATGTGTTCTTTTTGCAAGCAACATTAACTTCAAATCAAAATGTAGTTGGAAAAGAGTTCCTAGACCCAGGAAGCCTGGAATCGCTCAGGTCATACTCTGCCCAAAGAAATCTTTCCCTGTAAGCTTGTTAGAGGACCCGGAATTCAAATATTTTTTACTTGGACTTAAAAAAAAAGTATAGATTATCAACTTTTTCTGTCTGGGTGACAGTGACATTCTTTTGTAGCTTCTCCATCCTAGGTGGAAGCAGAACTATATTTATTAATTTAACAAATATTCATATCAGGACTCCCCTGGCGGTCCAGTGGTTAAGACTCCAGGCTTCCACTGCAGGGGGCGGGGGTTCGATCCCTGGATGGGAACTAAGATCCCACATGCCACGTGGTGCGGCCAAAAACAAAACAAAACAAAACAAAAAAACCCAAAAAACACAACAAACGTTCATATCAACAGATGTACACCTGGAAGACTAATTGATATCTCAAACTTAACATATTCATAATGGAACTTTTGGGTTTCTACAACCTCTTCCTGTTCTACCCCACACCCACCTCTGTAAATGGTACCACCGTCCACCTAGTTGGTCAAGTCAGAAGCCCAAGAGTTATCCTTATTTTCTCTTTCACCTCACACATCCAATCCAACAATAACCACTACAATTCCAAAACAGATATAAAATCCACTCCCTTACTCCCATTATTGCTGTCACTAGTGTTATCCAGGCTATCATGGTCATTTGCCTGGACTTGTATGAAAACCAGCAAACTGGTCTCACAGCTTTTACTTTTGTCCCCCTAGACTACATTATCTACCCAGCAGCCAAAGTCAAAAACCTAAGTCAAATTACATTCTAAAAACCTAAATTAAATCAGAGCACGTCAAATCCCTGCTCATAATCATTCAGTATCTTCCCATTGCCCTTACAAGAAAATTCTAACTCCTCACCATGGCCTGGAAGGCCCTGAATGATCCAGCTTTGACTACTTCTGTAACTTCATTTTGGGCCACTTTCTTCCTCACTCAGTCTATCTGGCTACATTGACATCTTTCTGTTTCTTGAATACACCAAGTTCTCTTCCCACATGGTCTTTGTCTTTGCCTTTCCCTCTGCCTGGAAGCTCTTTCTTAGAACTTTGCAGTTTGCTAGCTTCTTCTCATTCTTCAGGTCCCAGCTCGAATGTTGCCTCTTTAGATATGCCTTCCGTGACCCCCACGTCCAAGACAGCTTCATCTTCACCTCCTCAAGCCCTATTATTTTCTTCCTCAGCATCCTGTTTGTTTCCTTTATAGCACTCATTAAATAAACATTTGTTTATTTGTTTTTTGTGTCTTTCCCTTACTAGAATGTGAGTTTCTTCAGGGTTAATTTAGTACTGCATCTCCAGTGTCAAAAACGATGGCTAGAACATAATCAGCACTCAATAAAATTTGTTGAACAGATAAACTTTTTTAGCACCATCTATCTATCACCCTAGATTTGTTGATGGGGATACAGTAGCAGCTAGCAAGAAAGAGTAGTGCTTAATCTTTTGTAGCTCAATACTTTATGAGGGAGACAGATATTAACCATCAGTTAACAGAATTAACCATTTAACTATAATTGTAGTTGGAGCTATGGAGGGAACACATACAGGGGAACTTGACTTTATTTTCCCCCAAGGAAGTGAGCTCTGAGATAAACTCTCTAAGTCTCAGTGAGAATAAACCAGTGAAAAGGGGTGGGGAAGATCAGTCTTAGAAAAAGAAGTAGTATATGTAAAGGACCTAAGGCAGGAAGAAGTACGGGTTTGAGACATCAGAAGTAGTCCTGGAAGGTTTTTGTGCTGAACTCGAGTCTTCTTGGACCCCCTGCTCCTGGGATTTGGTCTTAGGGGTGCAGAGTTGGGCTGTTGCCTCACTCAGTGGTTCTTATAAATTTCCATAGGCATACATCCTTGTACAATAGGCACAAGGAGGCCACATTTGCTATAATTGGAAAGATTAAGTTGAAATGTTTGTTCAGAATGTCAGAGAAACCTAGGAAAGGAGGTGTAATAGGTTTTCTTTCCACTCAAACTTCTCTTCATTCCGATGTATATCAGAGGCAAAGCAGCCCCTTCTTTGACTTATACTTGCAGACTAATACTTAAATGTGTGACAGTGAAATGGTGAAAAGCAGAGTTGAGTCTGGTGAGTAAGAAGAGCATTGGTATGACCTCAAGGAGTCCCCACTACCCTGACTCCATGGTGGTCCACCTGCGATTCTGCAAAAGCCATTAGCCCTCTCCGGACTTCTGCTGTCTCATTTGTACAATAAGACATATGAATCTATCAAAAGAGGCCAGAAATTAAACAGATTATTTACAACCACACAATGAAGTTATTAGAATAGAAAGCAGAGTTTGGAAATTTATCTCAATGGAAAGTGATTTTATTAAAATAATACATAACCTGGAATTCATGTCTAAATTATTTGGCTTGGTAATTATGCTAGAGAAGAGAGCAAAATGCTTTCTACCATAGTTTACAAAACACCATCAAAGAAAATCTGAATTTATAAAGTTGATACATTGTGGGGTACCTTGTTTTCAAAATGATTTACAACAAGGTACTATAAATAACTACCTCATTAAGTACATTTAAAATACCTTATGGTAAAGATTTTATTTATACAATACTTGACAGGAACACCTGTTGAGAGGCACTCCCAACTTGTACATGTTTGAGGAATCAGAGCATTTGTGAACATATCCTTGACCTCTGTAAACTTTAAAATATAAAATGTTACTCAAAAATAGAATTCTGGGATTTAAATCAACTTTATTTCAACTTTGCTTACTTTTTATGACATATGTGCATTATTGTTTCATCGCTTCCAAACCTGCCTCATGTTTTTCACAGTTAACTTTGATTTATTCTTGTGAGCAGACTGTTGAATCAAAGCACTACATTTACTAATGATGGTAGATTTTTCTGAAGCTCTTTTTGAAACTCTTATTGATAAAATGTCCCTTTGTTATAGAGTGCAGTGTGGTTTGCTTAGGGTAAATGTGAAGAAGGCAGGATGTCTGTCTTTGCTTGGTTTCCTAGCCACAGCATCTCACTTGGTAATAGTCTATTTTGGGTAGTTAAATCCATTCCTGGGGAACCTATCCTTTATGCTTTATGTTTTCCTTTCTTCCTTTTTTTTTTTTTTTTTGGTACACGGGCCTCTCACTGTTGTGGTCTCTCCCGTTGCGGAGCACCGGCTCCGGACGCGCAGGCTCAGCGGCCATGGCTCACGGGCCCAGCCGCTCCGCGGCATGTGGGATCCTCCCGAACCGGGGCACGAACCCTTGTCCCCTGCATCGGCAGGCGGACTCTCAACCACTGTGCCACCAGGGAAGCCCCTCTTTTTTTTTTTTAGTACTTCATGCAAGTAATTTGACATGAGGAGATCTTGAAGGTGTTGACTTCCTGTGACAGTGGTGACTTCCCTGTCACTGGAGGTGTTCATTTGGGCACAGTCGCTTGGAACCATTCTCTCATTAAAGAACAAATATTTATTAAATACCACCTTTGCCAGGCACTGAGATACTCACTAGGAGTTCAAAAGGCATGATCTTAGCAAGTGTTCATATTAGGTGTTCGACATGCAGTTTTAATACAGAAGTTGACTATTCTAATGGAGAATAGAGAGTTCAACCATCAAACTACTGTGTGGTCTAGAAGACCTTTTAAAATACTGACTGATTTCTGAGAGTCTATGAATTAACTTCTAAGAGTTCTAGAGGGATTATTGGAAAAGGAAAATGAGAATGGCCTTTGAAACCAGACAATTCTGTGTTAGAAACCTGGCTATACCACCTCTGAGCTTTGAGAGTCTTGGGCAAGTCCCTAAACTTTCTGAAGCTCAGTTAGTTTTTTTTACCTTTAAAAGGGGAATATTTGGAAGA